TCACTTTTGATTATTTCCATTACACCGAAGTGATGCATTATAGCGTGGGAACAAAAGTCATGGATATATAATGGAGAAGACCAAATTGGTGGATGATTTGGTCCACCAAGACAGCGACCCAGTGGTTGGTGAGGACTCTTCATGTCCACAAAAATATTTAATATTATTAATACAAATATTAAGAATGTTTTATCAACTAGTAACTAGACAGCATGCATGCATACCAAGCATAAAGTATACATCTTGCTATTTGCTAATTCTTCTTCTTGTCAAATTAGGTAGACCAACCAATCCTACCCCAAGGAAAAAAATAAATAAAAAATCACATGTTAATCGAGTTCGGAACGAATTGCAACCCGGTTAAATGGTCAGAACCATTAGACTTGAGGAAATTTGTGTAGATTTTGACTCAACTATATGAATTTGAAAACTAAATTTCCTATCGAATAGTTCACCTCAAATGCTAAGCAACCATTAGCAACACAAACCTAAAGTTCATTACCAGGTAATATATAATTGAAAAAAAGCAGTAGTATATTATGACTAATTTAAAAGAAAAAGGGACATAAAATGTATGGGTATTTGTAAACGTACTTGGTAGGGATTGGATATTCCGGGAAAAACTTGGCCAGAATCTCAACCACCTCAGCTCGATGGATCACAGTCTCGACACAAAGGTACCTGCCTGAGGCTGAAGGTGTCTCAAAAAGAAGTATTTGAGCCAATGCCACGTCCTTGACATGCACGTACCCCTGGACGGAGTTGGCATAAGTCTTGGCCGAGCCGGTCAAATACTTCAATACATGAAGAACACTAGCGTTTATAGTGGGTTGTAGCAACGGTCCAAGCACCAAAACCGGGTTGATGGCCACCATGTCCACTCCTAACTCCTTTGCCATATCCCATGCTGCTTGTTCTGCCACAGCTTTCCCATAGCAATACCAATTCTACAATGCCATGTTGAATGAATTATTAACTATCATCATAATATTGTTGGGATTTTCTTGTAATTACTTCTATGTTTAATATCATGATTGTGTAATGATTACTACCATCCTAATTGGTCTTTATTATTTAAAACTCATTTTTTTCTCGAACTCATTTTCAATTGACACATTTAATGGGACTCAAAACTTTTATCAACTTTTCAATCGTACATTTCCAAATTGCATGAACGAACTTTCACAGTTCACACCTTATACCCCGAGGGTTCAATCCCTCTCAATCGTTCGAGTAACCCCAAGTTGTAATCTGTAGAACATAATATGGTCTAACAAGTGACACACATGAGGTCACTAAAACTAAAAAATTATTAAAAAAATTTCGGTTTACACGTATTAGCTAGTATTTCTAATGTAAAATGCAATGTAGCAATCTAGTTTTTAACTCGATTTCTAATGTGTTGTAGTATATGCAAACCTTGGTATTTTTGCAAAATTCGAGATCACTCCAGCATGTCTCATCAACAACTTGTTCAGGGGCTCTGTTGGGATCCATGTATACAGCACCAATTGATGAGGTTAAAACTACACGGCGGACTTTGGCTTCTGCCGCCGCACGAATTACATTCTTTGCCCCATTCACTGCCGGCTCCACCATTTGCTCCTTCAATTGAAAAACCAATTATTAGCCAAATGTTGTTGCAATAAAAGTTCATTAGGTTTGGCTGGTCGAGAATTAGAAACTCGAATTCTATCATTAAGAGCAATAAAATCGCAGAAAGAAAATAAACATAAGAACACGCAAAATTTATAAGGGTTCGCAGACAATGTCCTATTCCGTAGCTGCAGTAATTTCCTAAAAGAATTATACAACAAAAAATTGCACACCTACTTTTATAATGGGAATAATGATATTCATAGTCTACTGCAGTCATTATAAGTAGCACACATTAATCATTTTTAATAACCAAAAGAAAATGAAAAGAATAGTCAAACAGGCCTTTGATTTGATATATGTCATATAAGATGACTTTAGTAGTCCCCGACTATAAATAGTATTATTCAATATGATAATAATAAAAAATCTTAATGACGACTACCTATTTATATGACAAATTTGGATAAAATCGAAGTTAAATTCCTAATTGGAATTTTGGTCAAAGCAACTTAACCATTGAGGCCAATCAACATACTGATGTCACACAACAACAATAATTAGATCACAACTTAACATGGTGAAGTTTAATTTTTTTTTTTTAAATAACAATAAATATAACACCAGTAAAATTAAAAAGTCAAACCAAGATTCACAATTTAGGACTAGTGCCCTTTCTTTATTGCTTAACGTGTGGCACTTTACATAAAAATCTAAAAGTACCAATAGGTAATATTTAATCAATTCCTGCCATTTTTTTTCCTTCATCTCCTCGATGATCGAATAAGGGTTTGGTTTTGAATAATAATTAATAAGAACTTACTGGATCATCGGTGACAGGTGATGCAGTATGGAAAACACCATCACAGCCGTTGATTGCTTCACGTAAACTCCCATAATCATTAAGCTCAGCTCTGCATAAAATTAATCTCTCATTTGCTCCTTCAAGTTCTCTTAAATGAGAATTCTTGGGATCGTCTGCGTCGAACCCATAAATTGTACACTATCAGAATTTTGACTGTTGAAGACAAAATTTGATTTAAGGTTATAGATTACGATGTTTCACCTGGATTTCGGACAGTGCCTCTAACAGTGTAGCCTTTTTCTAGGAGTAGTTTGACGAGCCATGAAGCAATGAAACCTCCGGCGCCGGTGACGCAGACGAGTTTTCCGGGAACTGACGGCATACTGGCGTTTTCTGGCGGTTGTGGGTGGATAAGACGGCGTCGGAGAATAAAGAGAAGGGAATAGAACGTTTCAACTTTCGAAGAAAACAACAAACCTTGGTGAAGAAAGGTATTGCAGCCCGTGTATTTATAAAAGGAAAATAATTTTACCGCTCCACCTACCACGGTTAAATAGTAAAAGTGATTTTGGTGGAAGAAAACTTCAACACCCACCACGCTTCTTTTCTTGGAAATTCAGAATAATATCACTAATGATCCCCTAAATATTGACTCAGTAAAAGTTTATCACCAACCTTTGAAAATAAGCAAATTAGTCTCTCAAGCTGACACTGTAATTTTTTTAAGGGGATCAAAGGATTTTACCCCCTGAAAGGAAGCTTGAACTCAAATTATTTACCTAGTAAGACTTCCTTCTCATTGCTTGATTTAGGTGTTGGCCCTAATTTCAATGTAGTTTTACTGACAAAAACCTTTCAAGTTTATGTTAATGTCCAGTGATTAATTTAGGTATTAGCCCTAATTTCAATCAATGTAGTTTTACTGACAAAAACCTTTCAAATTAATGTTAAGGTACAGTGGTTGATTTAGGTGCTGGCCCTAATTTCAATGTAGTTTATTGACAAAAATCTTTCATATTTATGTTAAGTTTCGGTGGTTGATTTAGGTGTTGGCCCTAAGTTCAATGTAGTTTTATTGACAAAAACCTTTCAAATTTATTTTAAGGTTCAGTGGTTGACTTAGGTGTTGTCCCTAATTTCATTGTAGTTTTACTGACAAAAACCTTTCAAATTTATTTTAAGCATTTATGTTAAGGTCCAATGGTTCTCTTGGCATAGTTTTTAATATTTCTAACTTGGAGTCGTGCCAAAAACATGAGTAATGCTGTTTAGCCCCACCAGAATTGCAATCTCAGTCTAGATGACACCAATTGATAGGTTAAATAAAAGGTAAAATTAAATGATTTATTTAATTCTACCTATCAATTAATATCACATTAGAGAAAATTAAATAAATTATTTAATTATATCCATCACTTAATGTCACATTAGAGACATTTAGATTAAGTTGCAATCTCAGTGGAGTTACATAGCATTATTCCAAAAATATTTGAAGCGAGTTGCGTTTCCGTGATACTAAGACAATAGATTGAGGACGAATGGTGCAATTTCCCCTTTGAATTTTTAATTTGATTTGAATTCCCAAAAAAAAAAAAAAAAAAAATGGGTGTCCACAGTCCAAACTCCAGGTTAAATAAAATAAAATAAAATAAACAATAAAACTCGTTTTCATTTTTGTTGCAATTACAATATAAAAATGGATATATAGCTTGCCTTATTATTCTTCGAAAAATTAAATTATATAAAATCTATCAATTTACCAGAAGCCACTACTAGACGTCTAGACCCATTTTCTTTAATGAATTATTAAAAACAATTTCGTAAATTTTATTTTCTTATTAAATTAACATATTTAATTTAAAAAATAAATTAATAGACATACATTTTTTAAAATGTATTTCTTTGTTACAACATGCCAAATAACCTTTCTGATAGAGAAGAAATTACCCTTGTGTAATAACTAATAAGTTGGTTTGCCTCTTATTTTGACCATTTATAAAATTGTTTATTGGCTGTTGTCCTAAAGAGGCTAATTTGTCACGTGAATATTTATATACTTTTTAAATGCATTTTACCATATATTATAATACAATAATATTATTTAGCCCTAGTTTATGTGGCTTCACTTTCTGAGTTAAGTTAATTGAGTGTTATGACTTTGTGTTTAAATAAATCTATTATTTAGTCCATATTTGGGATTAATTAAAAAATTTAGGAAAAAAATGTGTTTTAAAATAGTGATTTTTTAAAGAAATGCATGGTTAAAAAATAAAGAAATTTTTTGGATTTAGGTAAATATTTTATTGAAGAATGTGTGATTAAAAAAAAGAAAGAACAAACTACATTTTACAAAAAATGGAGCCCAAACAAGTGCTTAATACTATGTAATTGTCAATTAAATTTGTACTTAACACAAATAATGATGAATAACGTTACTCATTATGATAATTCTCCTTTATGTCTTATATCGGGCTTTCCTTATTTAGCTCAAAGTTAAATGAAAATGTTTTTGAAGTCCCATTTTTTAAAATAATGTTATTGACAGTCGCTTTATATGACATATATATGGCAATTAGTGATTTGATACATAAGGTAATAAAAAATCTACCACATTAATGCATCTAATCACCAATCGACATATGTATGTTATATAGGACGACTATGACAGTGAGCGATTGAAAATATCATTACGATTGAAAAAAATTTCATATAAAGTTTTCCAGTTAAAATGCTTTCTTTGCTCTGAAAAGTCGATCTAAGATTTTATTGAAAAAGGTATTCTATACCTCGGGATGTAAGTTTAGCTCACCGATTTAGACAGCCCATGGCTCAATCCGAGCCTAACGTACCGACTTGTGTCACAGGTCATTTTCACTCGCTTCAAAGTTGTTACATTTAAAACGAATCTCTTTACAATGACTATTTTTCTCTTATCAAGTCGGCTAGATAGAGCCTCATTTAGGTTGCACTAGAGAGAAATTTTTACATCGTCCATGAAAAATCTTTCTTATGCAATCCGCATTAGCATATACTCAACCTTGAACTGCCTCGAGATCTTGAGTAGTTACTTGGTCAGTTCCAAAGTTGAAAAAGTGGAGAAGGCGGTAACACCAGATTAGGTGATAGTGAAGTTTAATTAGACAATTAAAGATGAATATCAACTACCATTTAGACTAGAGCTAATCACCATAAATACTAGTTAAAATGACAACATAACCAATTTGCTCCTCAAAAATTCCTTACAATGTCATATCTCAAATCAAACCTACTACACCTTGGTAATTACTTCACTATGACGTCTAAAGTGATCACCATTACGCTTGTGTCCAAACCCTCATGGAGCGACTTGTCCGTTTTTCTTTTCCCTTATCCAGATACTCCTCTCCACAGAATCTCAAAATGGGACTTCCATTTTTATTTTGCCTCAGAATAGATACAGATGTGAGACATGAAGATTTACTCCACGTGTTTAAAATATTATCCAAAAATACCACCCACTCCCATGTTATGTGTATTCTATAAAAGTGCTGTAAATTAGGAGTGGGCGTGGTCCGATTAGGTCCGATTCTAAAAGAAATCGAACCGAACCGAATACCAATGAGAATTTTAAAAATGGAACCATTGGTTCCATTGTTAGTTATGGAACCGAACCGGAACCGAACCAATCGGTTCCGGTTCGGTCCGGTCCGGTCCGGTTCTTTACATAAAGATGTCAAAATAAAATGTTTACTAATAAAAAATTTAAAGAAACTACCAATGTGATACTTTTAAAAAAATATAGAAGAACCGAACATATTATACAAAGATTAAAAGAAAACTAAGAAT